ATATATATATATTATACATATATGATATAAAATATTAATCTTTAAATTTATTTAAATACTTTTACAGGATTTTTTAGATTAAATATTTTTTGATTTAATTCATAACTGACTTATTTTATCTAAAATTGATTGTAAAGAATAAATAATCACAATCTGTACAATATTCCTGAATAACAGAATTAAGGATTTGTAGCAGAATTAAGGATTTGTTTTATTACTTTTTAAGTCGCGAAACTTAAAAGATAAAAGGATCTCTTTAAAAGACTTTGTATGGTTTTAAAGTTAGATACGAAGTACGAGTACAAGTATTTTGGGGACATTCTGTATAAAAGGAAGTACGGCAATATCGTGTAGTCTGCGTATAATTGTCTCCTTTTCGCGCTGTGAGATATAAAAGAAATGATTCTCGTAAAAACAAGTATAGGCAGGTACTGTGTGTTATGTTTCGCTGGAATTCTTTTCGATCACTACTTTGCCCTTCAAGGGTCCATGATTAACGTCGTCGAGCTCGCGAATTCGACGATCTCATCTAAAATACTTTCATGTGTTTCATGAGTTTTCGATTTTTTCGAACGTATCTTCACGGAAAATCACTACACTTAACATATGTTAGTTATTATTTAACTACTTTTCTCCCCGATAGAAAACTGTAAGAGATCTTTGCACTTCCCAACACTCGTTCCTTTTAAAACAACTTTACAAAGGATTGGAGTTCTTTCGGCGCGAGTATATTATTCATTAGTTCCTTTTGACACGCGTAAATAATATGGAAAACACTTTGTTTTATCTGATAATGATCTACATTCGACGATAAGTCTGGATAAGTCGGCGCATTCGCGTAGTATAATTTAGAATCTTGATATGTATACGAAAAGTATACCAAAAACGTCTTACAATGAAATTACAAAGTTCAAAGTGTACAGGCTCGAAAGATTCAACGCTGAACAAATAATTTCGTGCGTTGAAAAACGGTTGGAAATTGTTATAAAAATTGTATATTCAGTTTTCCTTCAATGTAGAACATGTCTAACGCAACATGAAACTGCAATTCATACAGTTATCATTGTAATTACTGTTAATATAATTACTGTCATACAACTGTCGATGTAATTATTATTATGTTTGACACAACGAGGATAATGGAAAATACACATATTTTGAATGCGTAAGCCGGTTTAAAAGAATTTCCACGTAAAATGATTTTTATCATTCGAATTTTTACGGGAGAATATATGAAGCCCGCGTCTCATCCAATGGAATAACTGATTCTCTGCGCTTATATGCGAGGATTTTATTAAATTTTTCATGCTCTGGATTCTCTTTCTTTATAATATGTTAAGCACATGCCACTAAATAAAAGTAATAAAGTTTAACCCTCCGGAATAGATGATGAATCTATTGAATTTATTCAATTATAAATCTCTGTCAAACAATTCAATTTTCTTATGTTACAAATGGATATATATTTGGATTATTCTTATTAAAATATTTTTAAAAAATATAAGAATGTATAATAATAATTGACAATAAGAGTGCAGTAAATGATATGTAAATTATATGTTGTGTATTATAATTTTGAATTTAAAATAATACATAATTAGACGAGATTAGAATGGACGTTTCGGTTCTGCTTCAAGTCATCCTCAGCGATGTTATGTAATACGTGTAGTATACGATAATCTCATGTTTTCAGGACAAACATTGAAGAGAGTTTCAAGGCTGGGTGGTTATGAAAATCCCAAAGATGTGAGGGCGAAAACGAAACTTTGAAAATGAATCGAACAGCCAAACATGTGTACAACAGTGATGTTATCAATAAATTAATGTATAAAGATTCAAAATAAAGTCAAAAATTTAAACGGTTAAATTTGTAGCATTGTAAACGATATATTTAGTATTCAGTTGTTTATATAAATTATTTTAGCTTCTTAATTAGTGCCTTTTAATTAACGTTGCTTTTACATTAAATGAGTCTCATAAATTTAGCGTCAATAGCTGTGTTACAGATTTTGTCAGCTCCGGAAGATTAAATATTTACTTTTTTATTTCTTAAAACTCGAGAGGAAAATTTCGATATGTTGTAGAAATTAATTGAGAAAATTTTGTAATTAATCAATTATGTTTATGTGTATTATTTTAAAAAATGATAATTGAATATCGAATTAAGGCGCTTTATTTGTTTCTTCATGTGTGTGCGTGTCTTTTTAACTCTGTCACTCTGTCGTAAAACTCCAATTGGAACGAGTGCAATGCAATTGACAATTATAAAGCGCACATCGATGACTCTCTACGTTTAATCTTGAAGCACCATTCTTAACAAATCTTTAAATCATGATAAAGATAAACGACTCGCGTCGCAATGTTACCATAAAGTGGCCTTGCACGTTGCGCTAGTTGATACGCTCTTTGCAACGTAGTATGACACATATTACATCGAATGCTGAAAAAATAAGTCTGCAAAAAAGATGAGGATACATTTGAATGTTAGTCCATATTTAAACAATTTAAATATATGGCAATAGAAAATTTTCAGTGTTCTTTTAGATTCTTAAAAGAGATTTTCAAAAGCGTAAAAAGATGTTGAAAACGTTTTATTGGAAGATGATATTCAAATTGTTCAAAATTGTGTACTGTTCAAATGTATCTCCTTCTATTTTATTTTATGTCCGATGAACAGCTCTTATGCAAAGAAGAAGCAAGAATTTTTCTTTTGTTTCCTTTTCGTATAAGAACAGCGCAATTATACATTGGTTATCTTTGATGTGCTCTTGTGTACACAGACTTAGTAGTCTAATCTCAAAATAATTTATCTCGCATCTTTGTATGCCGTAAAGCGTACGATATTTCCCTTATATTTCATCGCGCGCATGAGTAGCTTCTCTTTCTTTCTCTTATGTTGAAATACACGCAGATGTCTCACCCATGACATTGCGACATATCTTGTACAGAATATAAATGCATGAAGCTCCCCCGTCGTTCTTTAGGCGCTGATTCCCGTTTTGTGCGTGTAATCAGGTAGACGTCTTTCTACATGTAGTCAGGTAGACATCTTTCCCGTCGAGGGAAGAAGCGAAACCGGAAGAATGCGGCGATTTAAAGAAGGGCGCAGGCGGTGCCATGCATCACCTCGGAGATGAACATCGGCGTACCGGCGCTAAGACCGCCATCGCCCTTTGCTTGCTCGTCCTTTTCATAGTCGCAGTCGAAGTAATGGCTCTGCGACAGAACGCGACATTTTGTAATTACGTGATGACAGCTTGCACTATTCCGAATTTCAAATATGAAATTCGCGAGTCAACAAAATTATTTCTATTTCATCAATCATTCTAATTTCAATTTCTCTCTCTTTCTTTGTCAGTTTTATTTGAAAACAAAAAATTTGCAACGTTTATATATTTTTAGTATCGATACAATGACAGACTTTGAAAGGCTTTTTTCCACTTAGTGATGCAAGTCAATATAAACATCATTCTATCTTTCTTGGCATTCAATAAATAAGATAGAACGATACTTATGTCGACTTTGTCATCAAATGAGAAGTATTCTAGACTACTCACTTCGATTATTTTGCATGTGATAGAAAGAGACAAAAATGTCGAGAAGTCCTTGTCCATCTATTCGTATGTGTATTGTATGATATTAGATGTATACGTATTGTATGATATTAGATGTATATGTATGAATAGGTGGACATAGAAATGGTAAGTTATTATTAGATCAAACGTAGCGACAAAGTGATCAATTTTGCAATGTAAGATTTAATATCTCGATCCAATTTACTTTTTTCTTTTTTTAATTCTGAGAATTTTCGAGACTTGAATCTATCTAAACTTTTATCTCGAATAATAGGAAAGACTTTATAAATATACCTGGCAATCCAAACATCTGCAATGATCACTCATTTTGCAAGTTATGCCCCACTGCTTTGCCATCGCTTTGTAGAATTCTTTGCTCGATTTATGGAGTATTTTCTTGGCTGCTTTTTTGTCCCCACCTCTTGGACCGCCACTGCCATCGTCACCTCCATCACCATCTTCAGCCTCCTCCGTACTTTTTTCGTTATTGGGAACCTGTTTTTCCATATTTTCCTCCTTTGCTTCTCGTAATGCAATGGCCGATGATTCCATTCGTGTCTAAATAATTATATTTTATAATTGAGAAAAATGGAAAAGTGATAGGATAAGGGCAAAAGATATTGAACTTCGGGATGCCGAAATTTTTATTAATAAGAAATTATGTGAAGCGATATTTTATACGCGTAAGTGAAATGCTTTGATAGAATACAGCCTGTGACAAGTGATCGCTACTGGCTATCGATACTATAGCTGTACGTGTGACGCGACTATTTGTTACAATGCGATGTATGGACAACGTGGCGCGAATTATCACACAGCGGATCACAGGGAACTATACAGTCCACGTGTATGTCGTTAATCCCGCGTGTTATATTTTCCATCAGAGAACTGTCATGGATATCGACCTCGCTTCGGGCCGCATGTTTTGTATTTCGCGATATATCCCAGGTAGAATTCGAGCGTATTGCTATGCGTATAATCCTTGAAACTGAATTCGGATCGCGTAAACAGTTCTCGATTGACGCAATCGAGAATGTCGACTATATTATTTTTTAGTCCCATCTGGTATATAATCCGTATCGAGAACGATCAATTAAATTTCCATCCGAGGTATGGCGCACTCACCTCTTCGAGAACGTGTTCGTACGAGGGTGGAGGTGAGCTGGGAATTGTTTGCTCGTTTCTAACCGACAAACAATTCTTGTCCATTTCCGTCTCGGATGCATCCGCAAACTCGTCTGTACCTGACGGCAACGACTGATTAATTTGCCGCTGCTGTTCCTCGGATTCCACGCTGTTGCTGCGACTATCGCCGGAACTGCGCGATTTCAGCATCTTCGAGAAACGGAGCTTGAACGGCGCCAGCTTGACGAATTTCTTCGTTCTCGTGGCCTATGAAGAGGACGAGTTTTCATTTGCGAATTAATCGCGAGATGGATTTTTCAAGAAGTCATTTTGCAAGAGTAACGAACATATTCGAGGATTCGCGGATATAAAGTGAAATGTTTGTTCTATATTTCCAATTTTTTAAATAATAGTTGCACAAGTCTGTGATATTTAATATGAGAATTTGTGTAAACAATACTTTGAAAAGAAAGAAGTGAGAGATATGTCAACTTCAATGAAAAAAAAGATTTTGTAATAATTGACAAGAATGCAAGATTCGAGTAGAAAAGCAAAAAAATATTAAAAAAATTAAAAATCAATACGCGCGCGGACCGGATGTAAAATAGAGGAGAAAAATGAAAACTTCGTTTTTGATTGATAACAACTTGAAATTTTTGAAATAGGTGACTCAGCTCGGAACGAGAACTTTACTCTATACCCGCGAGATCACGCAACTGCACCGGATGCATCTGTCGTTGACCTACTGACCGAGTTTGCGGATATTGGCGGTCGACGTACCGCCGCCACTCGACTTGGTGCATTTGCGGCCGACTTTACAGACGCGAAGCTTACCCCGCCCTTAAGCTCCTTCCGGAAAGGAGAGGTCGGTGGAATCGAGGACAAGCCCGAACGATGATTTTGGCACGTTGTACCGCTCGATATTATCATTTCGATTTTGATGCGGCGCAACGCATAAAAATAATATTTGCCATCGCCGTTAGTTCTCTGCTTCAAATAAAATATAAAATCAGCTTTCGGAATTACTATTAAAACATTGTTATTAATAAAATCATATGCGCACATTGGTATTTCAATCCAAACTGTTTGAATTTGTTGGAGCCGTTATTAATTAAATGAATTTCATTTTTGAACGTGATGGATGAAGGATAATAAGATTTCGAATTTCATATTGCAAGTTTCCGGGATAAACGCAGAAGATTGAAATGCTAGTCTTCATCATCATGTTGGAGTAAAACCGCCAGATAAATCGATAAGCTAATAAAGACTGAGCTAGAAATCATCTATCGCATCTCTCCTGCAAACGAAGTAAGTTTTACTTAAAGTCAGGCCTCCTACCGATGTTCAAATTGTGTCACCGGATCCTTGCGCTTGACAAAGTCAAGAACAATAGTTCTTGACAACAGACGGTTTTCCAATACGTATTCGCAAGTGGAACAAACCTATTTGCGGCCGGACGTGTCGAGATGCCATAAACGACAACTGTTGTTGAGATTTCGCGAGTGACGGAGATCATTCGGAATTTTGGACAGTGTCGTTCCTTGCAACGGAATTGCATCTCTCGAAATAATCTTTTTCCTCTCGCTCATGCACGTGGAGACATAATGCTAGAATTACAATCCTAGCGTGTGATTGCGAAGAAAGTATGAAGACCATCGTGCTCGAACAAAAGATAACGAGAGCTTAAAAGTATTCGAAAACTTGAGGAAGCTACGCTTCTCAAACTTAACAGAGGATTAAGAAAATTTAACGTTAAGTTTTGTATCAGTTGCAGCGGGAATAAAGAAACTTGTTTCATTCTGTATAATCAATTCCGTGGATATTTAATTATCAAAAACATTTAATTTAATACAGAAAACTCCGTCGCACGCGTGAAACACAGCTCCAAGTTTTAATCGGAATGTGAAATGTAACTCGTGCAAACAGACGAGCGTAAAACTCTGATGAAAAATTCCATCTGGACAGAAATCACTGCTCAACGGATAAGATAGACGGATAGAGCGACGTTTTATCGTACAAATGAAACAGGCGACAAAGTAGGTTGCATCGTTCGGTGAGAGAAGTGAGAATCCACGCGTTTTCATCCACCCTCTCGCGCCTTTCTTTCCTTCCCCCTCCTCCTCTCCCTCCCCCTTCTCCTGCGCAGGACTGGACGGCGTGTCAGTGGCCCGAGCTAGTACCAACGCACTCCCATCCTGGGCCAACACCTCTCGTCCTAGTTTCCTTCTCGCTTGGCTTCATCCACCCCTTGCCACTTTCATCCCTGTCCAGGGGGTACCTATCAACCGATCCCTCTCTCTC